CCCTTCTTCAGTCAAATTAACCGTTTGGTTGTCTGTGCAATATTCTGTTCTGAACTATTCCGCATCTCCCTGAGCCTTTTCTAGCTGGGGTGAAAACCAGGAACAATTCTAACAGCTGGTAGTTTTGTAACGATGACTTTCTCCAAACCTTTTACAGACTTGCAGTTAACAGCAATTAAAGGAATTCTACAGAGTCTCTGCCTGCGTCGGGTGGTCTCATTTCCTTTGCCTGCGGGACGGCGACGGCTGCCTCGAGAGGGTCTGCGTGTCAGCTGCTTTAAATTGCCCCTTTCCTCCCACCCGCCTCAGGGGGGCTTTGCTTAACTCGGGAAGGGGGACCCGCGCTGCCCCAGGCTGCTCGGAGCTCGTGTCTGCCCTGTCCCCCACCGCTGCCGGCCGAGGGCTTTGAGTGAGCTGATAAAAATGCCCGGGTACGAACCAGACCTCGTCTCTGCCAGCCGGAGGCCAGGCGCGCCGCCTGCGAGGCTGGATAGATGGGAAACGCTGACCTCCAAATTTATCGTCATTTTAGAAACAATCTGTTCCACGTGGGGAGAGCAGGGCGAGTCCTTCTCAGGGGTTCGTCAGCCAGGGGTGCCTGCTGACCCCCTCGATGGAGGGTCTCAGGGTCATGTCCGGTTCCAGGAGCATCTTCAGGAGGTTCTGGCACTCCTTGGAGATCCCCAGGTGCCCGGGGATGGAGACGCCTTTCTGCTGCTGGTGCAGCATCTTGGGGATGTCGGTGTCGTCGAAGGGCAGGCGGGCACAGAGCAGGACGTAGAGGATGACGCCCATGCTCCAGACATCGCCCTTGCAGCTGTCGTGGGGCATGCCCTGCAGCACCTCGGGCGCTGCGTAGGCTGTGCTGCCGCAGAAGGTCCAGCTCAGCTCCCTGCGGTCCCTGGGGAGCAGCTTGGCAAAGCCAAAATCCGTCAGCTTCAAGGTGTGGCCCTGCAGCAGGGCGTTCTCGCACTTGAGGTCGCGGTGGGCCACCCCGCAGTCGTGGCAGTACCGGACGGCCTCGACCAGCTGGCGGAAGAGCGCCCTGGCGCGGGGCTCGGGCAGGGGACCCTCGCGGAGCACGTAGTCAAAGATGTCCCCGTCCTCCGCCAGCTCCATCACGAGGCAGATCTTCCCCTCCCCGAACTCCAGCATCTCGTGCACGCGGATGATGTTCCTGTGGTCCAAGCGCGTGACGATCTGGAGCTCCCGGGGCAGGAATCTCCGAATAAACTCTGCCGAGAGAGGAGGAGGGTTTGCTCACTGGGGTGTCCCTGAGCTGCTGGCTCCCCTCCGGGACCCGGCAGAGGGAAGGAAGGTCGTTCCAGGGGTGCCCGGTTCCTTACGGCCTGGCACCGCCCGAGGGATGCTCGTCGAGGGGGGGGGGGATGCTGGGCTCTGCCAGCACTTTGCCGTCCCTGCGGTCGGAGAGGCGGCCACCTAAACGGGTCCTAATCCTCGGGCCGTGGTCCCCGGGCTGTTCTGCTGGACCCCCCAGCACCGCGCTCCCCCCCCTGCCCTCCGTTCTCAGGTGGCGAGTTTGGGAAACTAGTTTTCTGCTGGGAATTAAAAGCCTCCAGGGAGGGACAGTGCCTCAGCCTGGAGCTCTTTCGGGGTCAGCTCTTACCTTCTGGGCCTTCCTTCTTATCAATTATTTTAATTTACCTTCTGGGCCTTCCTTCTTATCAATGATTTTAATTGCCACTTTCTTCTGGTGCTTTTGGGAAAAAGCCTCCTTCACTTTGGAGTACATCCCCTCCCCGACCGTCCTGCCGAGCTGGTAGCCATTGGCAAGCAAAAACCCCTCCATGTCCTCACGTGAGCTGGGACCCTTCGCTCCCTCAGTTCATCCTGTAGCGACTCCGCAACAGCATCTCAGCGCCCTGGGGGCACCCGCAGCACCCCGGGGGGGGCACAGAGGGACCTTTTAAAACCTGGGGGTGCTATTGTGATGCAGCCGACGCTGCGTCAGTCGGGTGGCGGATGCGCAGCGAGGTGGGGGACAGGCTGGCACGCCCTCTTGGTGAGCAGGGGCTCTTGGGGTGGGCAGTGCGGATGTTACGGGGCTGGCTGGGGTCCCCCCATGTTCCCCCTGTGTTTTTGCCATTGCTGGGGGGCCCGTGCTCACCCGGCTCACCCGCCTGCTCCTGTCCGGTCAGACGCGTCCGGGGCCCGGACATGAGCTCCCAGCAGGCGCCGCAGGCTCGGAGGTTCCCCATCGAGGCGGGTGACTGTCCCAGCTCAGCTGTGCCTCCCGAAACTCAGGAGCCGGTAGGCGCCGAGCGGTCTGTGGGGAGGGAAGGGGGGGC